GTAGTTTTGTATACCGGAAGAATTGCTCTAGCCAAGTTGACTAGAGCTCGAGACACCGTGGTTACTAGGTGTTGAGACCGGGTAGAAGTGAGGCGGCCGCGGCGGTTGTAGGTATGGCCACGCCACCAAACCTCAGCGCCGTACAGAAGTACAGGGAGCGCCGCAGCCAGGGCTGCAGTGCGCAGAAAGGATGTGGGTACACCACGGTTGGTATTACCAAGCTGCCGTATGTGGGCACTGACCCGTTGCGTCTTGGCGCTCCATTCTTGCACATGTCTTTTAAAAGAGAGCTTCGTGTCAAGGAAGACGCCTAGCCACCTCAAAGTTGTGTTGGCGGTCATTAAGACGCCGTTGATAGCTACCGGAGAAGGAGGCTGGCGGGATCTATGAAGATGCAGTAGCTCCGTCTTGCTTTCTGCCAGAGAGAGTCCATTCTGACCGCACCAGCGGGTGATGCTTTCAATCCTGTTGGCAGTCAAACGAGAAGTATCGACCAGAGATTTTGAGACCGAAAGGATCGCCACGTCGTCAACGTAACCAAAAGTAGGAAACCCGAGTTTGAATAAGGGCTCGAGGAAGAGAAGAAAAAGTATAGGGGATGCGGGGGACCCTTGAGGCAGTCCGTGCGGAATATCCAAGAAGTCGCCGACGTATTCGTCCACTCTGAGGCGAGCTTTTCTATGAGAGGCGAAGGATGCGGCCCAATTAGCATATGCTGAAGGCCATCCCTGTTCGCGAAGACGGACGGAGAGGCGGCCAGGTTGGATGCTATCGAAAGCACTTTGAATATCGAGGGTGGCAAGAGTGCAGACCTGCTTTGCCTCCCATGCTTTTTCGACATCGTGAACTAGACATTCAACGAGATCCATGGCGGACCTTCCAGGAAGCGCTCCGAATTGCGTTGGGGAGATAACTCGATTCGACAAGGCCCAGAAAGCAAGGCGTCTTGAGATGAGGCGTTCCAGCCCTTTGCCGAGGGCTGGGAGAAGCGAGATTGGTCTCCAGTTAGCGGGGTTGGTGAGGTCATCCTTGTGTGGCTTGGGGATAATCACCACTTCGGCGCGGCGGAAAATACTGGGATGGTGACCATAAGCCAGACAGAGACTGTAGAGGTGAACAATCCACGAGCGCCATGAATCCACCCCCCAAACAAGGCGGAGAGCTGAGACCGATAAATGATCATGACCCGGGGTTGTTGATGAAACTTCCAGGAGACAGTTACGTACCTCATCTTCACCTACGGAGAGAGGTGCGGGGATCGCACGCAGAGAGCATGTAGGAGTGTCCAAGGGGACATCCGGTTGGCTAGTTGCGCGGGCAAGCTTAGTGCGAAAGAATATTTCCGCACGCTCAGTGGGGGTGCTGTATGTGACACCCTGAAAAAGAATTGGAGGGGGACCAAATCGACTAGCTAGCTTGCGCCAACCGACAACTCTATGGGCCTCCATAATCGAAGACACGTTATCGAATTTGGCTCGCATATGTTCCCGTTTGGCTCGTCTGACAGCTTTCCGGAAGTTTTTATGAGCCACGCTAATGAGGTCTTGATCCCCGCTGTGGCGTGATTCAAGATATTGACGGCGGTAGTCTGAGCATTCGTGATTCCAATAATCTTTGCATGGGACGCACGCGGGCCTTGGCGGGTTAGCTGAAAGCAGGATTGCCGAGAGAGTGGCGATGCCTGATGTAGTCACCGTGTCTAAGAGCTGAGGTGAAGGGTCTTCAAGAGGAAAGCTGGGAGGTGCGGTAGCGGAGAGCGCCTGGCGAAACACTTCGGCATTCTCGCTGTTAAAGTTGGGCAGCTTTAGCGGTGGATGGCGCCTTTGAGATGGCGAGAGTTGAACGAAACCGGCGATCGTCTCGTGGTCAGAAGTTGAATGTGCCTCCGGAGCCACACGGGCTGAGAGTCCTTCCATGTTCGTGAGTACAAGGTCAAGGACATGGCCGGCACGATGGGTGGGAGCTCCGTAAGGCACTGCCGACCTCAGTGAATGAACGTCAATCCATTCGATGAGGGTGCTGACGCCGGACGAACGGGACACGTTGGGCTCCCACAGTTCGTGGTGAAGATTGAAGTCTCCCACAATTATGGTGTTTGGTTTAACCGGCCACTTTAGGAGTGTGCATAGGCTCTCGGGCATGTGAGCTTGAGGTTGTCGGTAGACGTTGATGATCTCTATGAGGGGAGAGCTCTGGAGACGAAGGGCGATGATGTCAGGTGAGTGACCAGAATCTAACTGGACAGGTCGAAGGTAGGACTTTTTGCGGACATAGGTCAGAACGCGCGGGCGCGCATTTTTCCAGTCCCGGTTAGGAGGAGTGAAGGTGACGTATGCAGGATGAGACTTGGTCACATTCTTGAGATTTATTGTTTTTGTCCAAGGCTCTTGAACAAAGATCACATCATACTTTCCCTGAAATGCAGCTTGTAAAAGAATGAGGTGAGATGATCCACCGCGCCCAACGTTTGCTTGAAGGAAACGGAGCCGAGGCGGGGGGGTGCTCCTGAAATAAGCTCTACTGCTCATGAGAAGTACTGTTGGAGGCGAGACTGGTGTCACGCTCGACTAGGTCTATTTCCATAGATCCATCCGAAGCAGATGTTAATGACGTGAAACGGTTTAGTGTGGATGCAGGTGCACGTTGAGAAGAGGAGGAGGAGGCCTCAGTGGAAGGATTCGGCGCGCCGGAGCCGCCGTCTGAGGAAGCAGTAGGAGTAGCAGTAGCGGTAGCGGCAGCGGCAGCGGCAGCAGCCTCTGCGCGGCGTTCCTTCCGGAGATTAATACGGTTACGGGATCGGAGTTCCGCAATGGTTTTTTCTGAAGGATTGATAAGTTTGCCCTTGAAGGGGCGGGGGCGGAGAGGGCACTTATGGTCGTCTGCGGAATGTGGCCCGAGGCAGTTGATACATCGGCGTTGGTGGCAGCACTCACCACGGTGACGAAGAGCGCCGCAAAGGGAGCACAAAGCTTGAGTGCGGCACCGAGAAGAAGGATGGAAGCCAAAGCACGCGTCGCACTGAACTACCTTTGGATTAGGAATGTAGCGTCGAGAAGGGGCGCTGTCAACAATCCGAAAAGTCGACACTTCTTTTGGGAAGAAGATGACCGCTGTGTGCAGAGGATCATGACAATCTTCATGCAACGACCAGCGGGCGCCAGATGGAGTGACGCCTGTCTGAGCCTGGGCAATACTTTTGACATCGTCAAGTGTAGTGGGGACCACGTTGGAAACCGGGTTCCAGATAGTGCGCGGGATACGCTTGACAACGTACCCGATGCGGTCCTCAATTTGAAAAAGGGATCCAGAAAGAGACGCCTTTGTCGAGTCAGCGTTATCCAACGCCAGTTTCCGCGATGTGTCGGACGAAAACGAGATGATGAATCCATTTGAGCTGCGAGAAACGGAGACTATGCCGTCCTTGAGCCCAGGAACAATGCGAATGAAAGCAGCCTTGACTGAAGTTGCGTCTGCTCTGAGAAGTGGAGCATCCTCCGAGAGACGAAAGATGGCTTTGAGGCCAGTAGTGGATGCAGCCTGTTTAGGAGCTGGCGTGTAAAAAGGACGGTGTTTTGCGTTGGGAGGGGCCGAGGACGACGCATGAGTAGGGGGATTGGTGGCAGGAGGGGCGGCGGCGGTCGCTGCCCAGCTTTGAGGTTGCTTTGAGATGGGGACGGGAGGTCGTGATGGTAGAATTTGGCTGGGCTTGGGAAGGGGGCTTGCCGTCTTGGGTTGTCTTGGATTATCGTGTCGCATAGGGTGCCCGGAGGCAACCGCAAGTAGAAACGCGTCCATTTGCTCGCGCACGAAGGTTTTGATGAGAGGATCAGCCTCTTCAACGGCTGACCAGAACTTGTTGTGAAAGTTTTGAACCCAGGTAGCTCTACTCTTTGCCACACGTTGGACAAGGTCGAGTTCATCAGCGACGCGCTGGGCCAAGGGAGGTGGATGTTGCGATTTGGCCATCGCGAGCGCGATGTCCAAACAAAAATGCTGTAATAAATGGAGAAAAATGATAGAGTAAGTGGATATGATATTATACGTTAATCGATGTGTGTGGAAGAATTTAGAATAATTGGGGCTGTCAAGTAGGCCACGTTGTTGATACACACGTGACTGCAAATTCTGTACTTAGTTTCACTTCGGTAGCTACTTGAATCAATGCGCTCAACAACCTCAATGACTGAGGGGTCATTATTTTCTTAGTACGTAGATAGAATTGATGGACGCTTTCAAGGGCCTATAAGACAACAATTGAAGCTAATGAAATAAAATCAAATTATGATAATCAACAGCTAAATTTAAAAGCTATTCTTTTGGACATTATTTTGGTAAGTCATAGAGCTTACGCTGGAAACGATTTATTTTGAAGGCCTACGGCTGAACCTCCCCCCAACTGGATACGATATAGGTTATGATCAGAATTCTATGTGCGAAGGAACACCGGGGCAAAAAGTAGTATGAAGAATTCTTGATGGGCTCTTTTTGGAAGAAATATGTCTCGTTTTCGCTCAACATTCTATTTCTTCGTCGTACCTGTTGCAATTACAATGTTTGGAATAGTGCAAGCGATAAGGTACGCTCTGGGATTTGAGATACACAGCCTCCCTTAACTCTACACCAAATTGGACTCGGAACCTCAGTTTAGGACTCTATGTAGATCAATCAACAAGGCTAATTCAATAAAATTATTCAAGCTTTTAAATTTCGATATTCTAGTAAAGAGAATTAATGAATCAAAAGACTCTCGTTAATCACAAATTCTCTTCGAGATCAGTCTCATACAATTCATGATTCTTTGGTGCTGAAGCTTAAACAGAGATAAGGCACATGATTTGAAAAGATCTCAGATAAACTACAAAGTTTTTTGGTTCTTGAACCTGGGAAACGGTGATTATTTAAAGCGCGTAGGTTGTGTAGAATAAATAGTGCTGTAAACGTTTTCATGGTTGTTCTAACGAATATTGCATATTTTTTTGAAATTAGGATATTTTTTGTTTTCACGGCATGAATTGTTTCTCAGTATTTCCATCGCCCATACTCTTGCTGGTACTATTCCCACTCTGTATAGCACCTAATATACCGTCGATATATTCGGCGCCGCTCCACTTCTGATGCATCAAAACATCGCAGCCAGACTCTTTCTCTCGTTGTTGTACAAGCTCTACATACGCTTTCATTCCATCTTCACGGAATCTATGACTTAGCTCATGTGTTATCGTGGCTGTACTATGAAGGCCAGCAAGAGAAATAAGTTGCAGCACAAATCCATGTCGAGCTACGTCCCATATAAATGACTTCAAAGTCTCGTTAGTAAATCCATGTGCCATCCAGTTAAAAGATGGAGATAAATTGTAAACAAGGGGTTTTCGTGGATAATGGGATCGGATTTCACCGGAAATCTGAGCCGCAATCCTGATGGATGGATCGCCAGTCTCCACCCAGAGAAGGTCGGCATACGATGCGTATTCAATGGCTCGTTTTGTGGCTGCCTCTATTCCGGCACGGTAATGGTAAAACCCTTCCCTTGTTCGTGGTATATCAATATCAAAGTAGACCTTCTTACCCGAAATTTTTTCAGCCAATAGTCTGCGCATTCGAATTGACATATTTCTTTCTTCTGAAACTATATTTTTATATTCCGAAGCTACGCCAGGTGTTGAGTCCAATTGCTGAATCATGGCTTCATCACAGCTCATAAGATTAACCTTTTTCAACCATTCCACTTCAAATTCATTAATTTCTGATGCTGGTGCGCCGCTTCTCTCCATAGTCTGCAGTGTTTCGGCCAGTGGAGCTAGACTTTCATCCATAACTCCCAAAATATACTCATGATCCCTAACATCAATGGCATTACTAAGAAGCCTCCCACTTTCTGAGTCCGTTCGGGCAATCAATATATTTTCGGTTCCCATCAAATCCCACTGAAATCTTGCGGCAAGAAGGCGGTTAATGTGTTCCCCTACAGGTACGAGGACTTTACCTGCCAAGTGACCGCATTTCTTACCGCCATGAAGCTGGTCTTCAAAATGGACTCCTGCAGCGCCGTTCTCGGCAAATAACTTGGCAAGCTTCATAACTGCTGACAGTCCACCGTGTCCTGTGTCGCCATCGGCAATAATGGGCCGTAAGTAATCAATATATGGTATGTTTGCTCGCTGCTCAGATGACATAGCTCTTCGCATATTCCATTGCTTGCGATCATGCATAGATTGTGCTTTTGCCATCCTTTGCACTTGATTTGGAACGGTATTATATGGGTAATCGCCAAAATCCGGAGAAATTTCATTTGTAGTGGTGAGAGTTGAGGAACATGCCCAGCCTGAGATATAAAGAGCTTCTTGATTTGGTGCTTGTTGGGTCATTTGGACCGGGTCAATGACACCCACTAAGATATTTGAGTCCAATCATTCATGGAGTATCAAGCGATCTTACTGGTGTGAATTGGCTCGCCAGTTGCCTCTCTCTTTTTGATTAAATCAAAGAGCTTCCGCGCCATCACAGAGCTTGCATACGGCTGCGTTAAGCTTCCTCTCTTGGTAGCAATATCAGCTGCCGTGTAAGATCTCTTGATCCCTTTATATCTCGGACTTGCCCACCAGGCTTCAATGGCCTGAATTTGCTGCTGGTATAGCCTATCTTCAGCTGAGCCTGCCTTCTCTGATTCAAGTAGAAGCTGAAAAGTTTCGGAGTCAGTTTGATTGAGCATAGGAGAGCGATATTTTGATCCAATTGACGAAAATTTCTGGGCTCTACAAATAAGAGGAGTTATTCTATCAAGTGTCAGCCTTAATTTGGTGTGGAATGCAAGCCGGAACATCTTGAGCAGCGTGATTAATCTTAGCGTGATTTTTGTTTTGGGTTGTTGATTTCGTTCTCTCGCTCAATATCTTTGGGCGCTAAGATGTTATTCAAGTTCAATCGTCGGACGCTAACCTATTGTGGAATTAAGGTATTTTAGTTCGATTTCATCAACCAACCTTAGCACTTAAATGGGTGTGAACGAGTAGGGCAAACCTAGAGGTTAAATCTCGGTCGGCTCCACCGGTCCTACATCTAAATAGATTGAAGGCTACGGCCTATGACTTAAAACTAAAATAAATAAATAAATCATGAACCAACCTTCATGGAAGTAGATCAAGAGTTGAAAACCTGCCAGAGCTATTAATCTGATTGAGGTAGTAACATGATAGGAACAAGAAACTGTTTGCATTAAAATAGGTGCACAAGTGCCGTGATATATTATCAGCCCATTTCCACTCTAATTTTTTAAACTAATCTTTTAAACAAATTATCATTAGATTTCTTTCTCTATCTAAATCTAAATAAGACCTGTGGGTCCTTTCTAGTTACAGGCCAAGAATAACTATCTAGTAGTATATGTCTTCCTATGCCTCCCATACAGCCCCCCTCAAACAGTAACACCCCTTATAAGTCCTCATTTGATCATGTACTTAGAGGAGCCCTTTGCCCTTCATTACCTTCTTTCTCCAGCTAACAAACCAAATTTTATTCGCGAGTGTATGGGAGCCAGGATATTTCGCAAAAACCACTGGGTGCGGAGCTCTTCTAATATCGACGTATCAAACTGTGGATAGTTTGGAAGCGATCATTATAGAGTTTAAGGTGTAAGGTTTACAAAGCTTGGAGTTACTTGTTTCGGAAAAAGGTGTTTCGCTTGGTTTGTAGCAATAAGAACTCTATCTGTTCTGACTAGAGATGTTTCGTTCCAAACCATGAGAAACTTAGCCCATGGTGACAAGTTGGGGACACATAGAACATTTGCCATTTTCTAGACGTACACAATCTAGATAGTATCAGAAAGAGAAATGGCAGCCAGGAATTAATTGACACTTTTTACTTTTACTTCTTACATTATTCAATTGACTCGTAGAGTCTATCACGACGTCACGGCTACACCCGAAGACATAGTAACTCTTCTAAAGGGTTCGCAGAGGCCAACCAGCTGGGCGCAGTAGGCCTGTGTAAAGCTAAGGGCCTCTCTCTACCTTCGCAGTTTCACCTTCTCTGATTCGCGTCGTAAGAAAACTGTGCCTGGTAAGAGCTCATTAGAAGATTCGAAGTCTAAAACTATTTTCGTAGATTAGCCTTGCTTATATTTCAAGTGTCGTTACGAATATCTGCTTGTCGAGTAACACGTGCATTTGAGTTCGCACTTGGCTTGTATATTCGGAAATATTGATATGAAAAGATGATTTTGTAGACGAGTCGAGTTCTGCTTTTACTTAATTCCTGCACCTGTTTGATTGCCTACCGGTATACGACATTTGTTGAGATACATCCAGAGATCCTTTGACAATCATTGTAGCATTTAGCACCGCAGCATTCTTCCTATTTGCCAATGCCATTTTCATTGTGTTGAGCGTTTCAGGGGATACCAAAGTTGTGTTATTTCTTTTTTTTTTGCATCAGATTTTAATTGCGTATGCAGCTATCTAGCTATGATTCAATATTAAAGAGAAGTACAGAATGGTGGATTCAACGTAAAGGAAGAGCACTCATGCCTCGGATTTCATTTGCAAGTACCACTGCGAAGTTATGGCGGCTTTTTCTTCACCCCAAGTCAACCCTCATCCGTGAATACCCACCCAGGGGAACGTCTCAAAAAACTTGAGTTATCCAGACATGCCTCCGTCATCTTTCAACTTTTCCCCGCGCGAAATGTAATCTGGGGTGTCTCCTTCCCAAGTGGAGTAGGTGCTCAGGCTACTCAGACTATACCGGAGAACACCACCAGGAGGCGGACCACGGCACCTTACATTGTTTGCTTGTGTTTATAGTGTCAGCTGCACTCTCGCAAGCGAAGTCTTGGCGCGCACAAAGCTCAATTCGTAAAACTCTTGCCAAAATTCAAAATGACACGCCCGTCGAGTTTGTATCCCTCTTTTGCATCATCTTGTAAACTTGTCCTGATCCCTCTCACGTCCATCCCAAAGAACTGTCTCCCAGATTTGTGCGCCACACTTTGCTTCCTCCGTCGGGTATAAATATCGGCGTGGGCGTGTATTTGGCGGTCAACTAAGGCCAGAGAAAGTCGACTAGAGGTGTGATCATTGGGGTGAGGATGTACTATGTCGTACTTGTAGACTTGATGAAGCTTAGTTGAGAATCGGACTCTTTGGGAATGAAAGATTGACGTGGTGGAGTAATTTGAAATTTTGCCTCGTGGGCCAATTTCTTTGATATTGCGAAATTTGACTAAACTTGGCTCTGGGGGAATATTTCACTCCCAGGTTCGTAGAGGACACCGCGTACAGGTGTTCAGTCTTGCCCTCCAAAGTTGTGTTATTGAGGGAGATAACTCAGCTCAACATTCAGAAATTGCTACTCAATCTTGACTCTGTAGATTCTGCCGTAAACGCTGACGGTTTGTAGATGATAACACTGATACATATGTAAATTTAGTCCCCCGATGATCAGCTGGGATGGTTAAGCAAATTTATCTCAGAGAGGTATCTTCAAATGAAATCTGTAGTATTAAAACTCATAAACTTAAATTAGTCTCCAATCACATTCTGAAAGTTATCATCATATATCATGACTAGAAAGCAGAATTAAAGGTAAATGGACAAAAAATATATACTTTTGCCTAGCAATGTAAGACCCGCCCCGTAATTCGTTTAAGACTCACTTTTTACGCGGACCAAGAGACAAAATGAAGGTTGTTCCTGTGCGACAGTTCGGCAATCGCAGATAATTTGTGCTGTGGTGCAACCAAGCATAATCCAGTGTGCTACCGTTGGTGATTGAGAATGATGTTGACTTATCGCCGGAAAAGTCCCTCTAGCTAGTTTTTGTAATAAACTCGGCCCTGCAGATTGATCTGAAAGCAATATATGTGTGTTTTATAGTACCACTTGAGTCTATGACTATCTAGCACATTGGGCTCTTCTCTGACCCAGATTATACCTTGCACAGTGGTCCTTGCCTCGTTTATTACTTCAAAGATGTAACGGTTCCAGTATATAAAGCTTAGGCGTTTGTACGTCGAAAGGTAAGTTTATTTATTAACTGAAGAACAAGAGCAATGCTACATCTAACGCCCTATATATACATGATTCCAATATTCCAAACACTAGTAGCTGCCCTGCAGTCGTGCCCCCATTATTAAGGTGTGCGTTAGTTTCCAACAGCGTCTCAACCACGAGCAGTTCCCGACTATCAAGACGAGCGCAATGAGCACTGACACTATGAATATGTCTGTGCTGAATAGCACCGGCTACAGGGATCTTATCGGCTCACTAGCCGTCACAAAAGATCTTTGATATACTGCCGGTAATAAAAAGTGTTGGAAATCTAGACTCAGCGTGTATGAAGGCTTAAATTTCTAGGTATGATCATCAAGATCAATTGAGTTGATTCGATTGAATATGATTAAGCTCAGTTGGACGAAATAAGATTCAGTGGCATCTAGAATGCAGTGGCTAGGAAATGCTACCTTGCGATAATTGAGTGGCTGGTTGTCGCTAGATCACTGGGAGTTCGGGATCTGTATTTAAAAATAGACTCATCTGTATATGTAAAAATAAGTTAACGGAGTATCATATATTATTAATTCATATTGAGAAGAGATTTCGATATCACATAAAACTATCAATAAATTCTTGTCCGAAATTGTACACCTGTTCTTCGAGATATTTCCTCCTGGAAATCCTTGACCATTTTTAACGCAAAGCCATTCAGCTCAGTGTTTGCCCGTAGAGTTCGGCCACCTTTTCCACGGTATCATCAACCCAAACAAAATAAAAATGGTAGCAGTGGAAGCTGCGTGCGCGGGAAAAAGTTTTAAAAATCCTCTAGCCCCCGCCAGGCTAGTCCAAGACACCAGGACCACATACATGCGCATTTTCATCTATATCTGCCTTCCTCATAATAGTCGAGGCCGACTTGATCCAATTTACCATCTCCGTATCAGGGGCTAGGAACGCTCCGGAAACACATCGCATGGCTTCTCCATGATCAAGGGTTAGTGACGAGAAGAGCTTCCACCCTACCATCTAATCTGATGGTGGTTTTTTTTTTGCATCAGATTTTAATTGCGTATGCAGCTATCTAGCCATGATTCACTATTAAAGAGAAGTACAGAATGGATGATTCAACGTAAAGGAAGAGCACTCATGCCTCGGATTTCATTTGCAAGTACCACTGCGAAGTTATGGCGGCTTTTTCTTCACCCCAAGTCAACCCTCGTCCATGAATACCCAACCAGGGAAACGTCCCAAAAACTCTGAGTTACCCAGACATGCTTCCATCATCAAATGACTTTTCTCCGCGCGAAATGTGATCTGGGGTGTCTCCTTCCCAAGTGGAGTAGGTGCCCAGGCTACTCAAACTATACTGGAGAACACCACCAGGAGACGGACCACTATACCTTCCATCGTTGGCTTGTGTTTATAGTGTCAGCTGCACTATCGCATGCGAAGACTTGGCGCGCACAAAGCTCAATTCGTAAAACTCTTTGAAAAATCCGGAATTCACGCCCTTCGAAGTTATATCCTTCCTTCGCATCATCTTATCAACTTATCCTGATTCCTCTCACGTCCATCACAAAAAACTGTTTCCCAGATTTGTGCGCCACGCTTTGCTTCCTCCGGCGGGTATAAATATCGGCGTGGGCGTATATTTGGCGGTCAACTAAGGCCAGAGAAGGTCGAAAAATGGTGTGGTCATCAGAATGAGGATGTACTTGGTCGTACTTGTAGACTTGATGAGACGAAAATAGGAGTCAAACTCGTTGGGAGCGAAATAACGACATGGAGGAGTAATTTGGATTTTTGCCTCGTGGGCAAACTTCTTTGA